TAACCCATTATATGTGGACGGCATATATATCTAATGTAGGATGGACGACGTGAAGGCAAAATGAGTCACTTATTGAGATCAACAGGTTGATCAAAATTTAATAATTGCGCACTTTGGGTCTGTTGTACACAATATTAATCGAAGGGCTGGGATGAAATAAAGCAGGCAAACGAGCGCTATATATATAGCAATAAATATTATACACATATATAGCGGAGGATTGCTAGAGATCGCCAATTCGTTCTTGACAAACATCTGGTGAAGGGTATTGCGATAATGAACCAATACTATCGGGATTAACCGAAGTTGTCAGCCAAGAGACGGAGTCCAAATCGCTGGAATTAAGCCTTGGAAAGTGAGTTGGGTAGGATGGTAAAGATGTATGGGTCATCGAGGGAACATGGAGGGGCAGGGAAGCAGAAGACAAGGCAGGGTCGATGGCCATGGATATGGCTGAATCTGGCTGGGAGGTGTGAACAAACGAAGAATTTGCTGTGCATACTCTAGGAGAAGAGATGACATGAGAGGAGGATGTGATGGAACCAAATAGATCAACAGGATTGGAATTTGTAGGCCTTAAGCCTAAAGTGCCAGATGCAAAATGGCCTGTAGTGGAGGCGAAACATTGCCCTTCGCTATCTTGTACCATTGGTTCGTGGTCATTTGGTAGAACCGGGGCAATTGATTCTGAGGCGGTAAAGGTGGTGGTGGAGTCAGTCAAGTGGCGACCTTGTTGGTCGGTTCCCGAGGGCATAGGTTCCTCAGGGCACGTGGAACAGACACGAGACAAGTTCGTGAACGAAAAGCCGTCTGAAACCTCTTGCATTTGAAGTCTGGATAAAGCTGAAAAACGGTCAGTGGGGACACCAGGATCAACAGAAAGATTATTTTGCCCCTCATCACAATCTCCATCTGAATTTCTTGGTATGTCGGAAATCAAGCTATTGGTCGAAATAACAGACAGTGAGGAGGATGGCTGGGGATGGAGTATTAAGGCTAAGCCTCTTTGGTTATCAAGTCCGGGATCGTTCAATAACAAAGTGCCTAAAATGAAATGAAAATAGCGAAGTGAAGAAAGGTATAAATAAACAAAAAAGATGATAC